AGAATATTTACAATCTTTTTTGAGACCTCAACAGCTGTTTTGTGGTAGAGCGTTTTTGCTACCACCCACTTCGTGAACAGATCAGTCGCTGTTAGAATGTATCTGCAATATAAAATGCAGAATGTTGTAAATACATACAGAATCACTGTAAATGATTTCCTTTCTTTTTAAACCAGATTCTTCACGTTTAGAACCTTTAAAGGAGGTTACACATGCTTCAGCCCATCATGATAGTACCTTTTGCCCTTAGCAGTGGAGGGAAGTGGGCCAATGAGATCCACACATGTCTCACTCTGTTTCAATGTACACATACAACACATTTCTGTAGATCAATAATCAGTCAGTCAGTCAAAAACTCCCACCCATTTCTTCACGTCCTCCCGCATAGTGGACCAGTGGTACGTTGCCAAAACCTTCTCGGTGGTGCGCGTTCTCCCTGCATGACCTCCGGAACCCAGGTTATCATGGCACTCCTTCAGGACATTGATAATTTGGTCCTTGGTGCACACAACCATCCTCTCATTGTCCTTGTATGTGTACATATCTCCAGCTGGCACAACAGGAACAACAAAACAATCATTTAGACATGTGTAGAGAGACATTATGACTAAAAGCTGTTCAAGAAATCCAGTGGCAAATGTGGTTTAGACGTAACAACTACAGTAATGTAAAGTGTGTATAAAAAGAAAAAGGAGAAACAAGCTGTGGAGTCCTTGCGATTTACTGAAAAATGTTGGAATTGCAATATGATAAACCATTAGAGGTATGATCACTTTTGCACCAAAAAACACCATTAGATAAATAGATAGATAGATATATACTTTATTGATCCCTATAAGTAAAGGGATGTGATGATGTCACATGTACAGGGGGTTTATACCTCATAATAAAAACGTATGTTCGTGACTTAACCATGGTCTTATTCTGTTACTTACCTTTGATCAGGTATTGTTTGGATGCCCTCCGAATTAACGCCTTCCTTTTATCATGCTTTTCAGCGGCGATGGTGAGATTGTGGTAACCACCATTGAGCACGTACTGCTTTATCTCAGCATAAAAGCTCTCCATTTCTGTCATGAAAGTTAAAATGGTCGCGGTAATTATGGGGAAGCGGAGGGATCTAGATCGTTCACACATAACAAGCTGTACCGAGTTCCTCCTGCAGTTCCGCAGACGGCCGGTGTGTGCAGCATAGCGCTGGGAGCAGAGGGAGGTGAGTATATGACGGATATGACGGATGACGGATGCGACGGAATACACCCGAACATATTTGGTAGGCCGAACATATCTGGTACTGACACCGGCCCCTCTGGGCGGGCCTACCTGAATGCGCGCGCAAGCTCACCGTATATACTTTAAGGTGGCCTCGAAAAGTTCAGATTCATTTTTCAATAAATGATGCGCTTCCACAAACAACAAACAACATAATTATTACATTCAAACAAACTACTTATAGTAGATGAAGTACATTATTCAAAAGTTTACATTAACTTTGGATAATAACACAGGTTAAATGAGCGGAAGCGCCCTCTTTTCCTCTCTCCCTCTCTCTCTTCAGCCCGTCAGTATCCGTCTCATTCAGCTCGCTGATCCAGTAATGAGTGACCCGACAGTGAAGAATAAACATATTTATTACCAGTTTAGCTTGTTCCAGAGGTAGGCTAGACAAAATAGCTAAGTGTGTTAGGTCTAACTTGAAGTGTGTGTTTTGCTTACCGGTCCGTCACAGCGGGCAGAGCTGTGATCCGGTAGAGCTTCGTGTCTCCGTCAGCAGCAGCTGATCCTGATCTCTCTCTCTTTCTGCTTCACATATGTTGCATATAGCTATGTTATTGTCTTTTTCGG